TATGCGATCGGATTTCCTACATTTTTCAACCGATTTCAACAAAACTTCACTTCTTTTGGCAGGTAGTGTTTCTTATTGTCTTGCACACTTTTTTCTTTATTTTTACATTCAGAATGCTTTAAAAATTCCATTTACAAGACAATTGTTTATAATAAAATTCTATTCAATCGGTAGACTCATAACGATTGAAAACAATGTTGTTGTTTGAGTTTGGGTTTGACCAATTCGTAAAAAAAAAAAAAAAAAAACAACTAATTAAGACATGCGTGTCCGTCAACCTTAAACAATAATCTTTGTCAATTTTATTTTTCAGTCTTTATGATGGTCGATACTTGATCTATCTCTTACTGTTACATCCCCGGGCAACGTCGGGCTCTACTGATAGTTATCAATAAATAACAAATGTTTATAATAAAAATAGTTTAAAAGTTTTGGGATGTTAACATTCTTCAGATTACATATGTTAATTTGCATAATAATGGACTATACCGTTTTGATCACAAGGAAAGATAGAAAAGACATATCAGTGATGCTGTTTGGTTTCAGTAAGAAAAAGAAATAAAAAAAGAGAGTAAAGAAAAGAAAGGGAAGATAGAGGAGGCAATAACACTCTCATATGTTTAAGTCTCCTTAAATGAAATGGAAAAGCTTTTTCAATTATAATTTTTTTTTCGTTTGTACCCTCTTACTTCTTTAACCTTTATCACGCTGTATGTAACTTTATTTACCTGTATAAAAAGTTTACTCTGCCACTGAATGCTATTCTGACCCACGAAGAACAGTGTGTTTGAATTTCATAGTTGTGTTGTCATATCCTGCTATGGCAACAGAAAACAACTTTGAGTGAAATTAACAATAAGGATACTGCAATTGAGAGACCTTGGAAAAGAATGCAGTGGGAAGTAATATAAATAATACAGATTTTCTAACGGTTAAATAATAACCTGTATTCTTACTTATGATAATTATTTCAATATTTTGTCCAAGTTTTCAAGCTCAAATATTTAACGATGTAATAGGATAATGTCCACGGTTATTTCATTGTGGTAGAACTCGTATTCAGTCGTTTACTTAAAAATTATGATTCATCAGAAAATTTCCAGAGGTATTGCTATTTATTAATAATAATAATAATAATAATAATAATAATAATAATAATGATAATAATAATAATAATAATTTTTACACTTCTAAAGTTAAGCAGTATTTTTATTGGGTAAAGGAGGCTAAGATTTATATTAATATTGTTTTAATTTTGTTTTTACTAAAACAGAATATTAAAGATAGTAAAATAAGAATGTTTTTGAGATAAGGATTAATGAAATAAAAAAAAAAAGTTGCCACAAAGAGTTTTAAAAAGTGTCATGAAAAAGAAAAATATAGCAAGAAAATAAACAAGAAAAGTAAAATTAAGATATATTTATTTCCTGAGTATAATTTCAATGGAACATATAACATGAATGGTTAAGATGAAAATTTGTTTTAATATTATGACTCTTTCTTTCTTTCTTTCTTTCTTTCTTTCTTTTCCTTTGTTGTTTTTAAAAGTATTTTGTTTAAAATGATTCTGATGACATCGTCGAATGAACAAAATTCAAAATTAAGAATCACCATTTTAGAGAAATCATCATTAAGTTAATTTTGCACTTGTAAATTCACTCTCTGTTTAAAAGGAAATATTTTTCATTAAAAATGTCTTGAAAGAAAATAGCCACTAGAATCTGTTTTCTTTACATAGCGTTAATTTATGAATCTCGTTGAAATTAGTTCATTACTATAAATGTTTCAAAGTTTCCTACATACATCCCAGAATATTTGAATTTCTTGCCAAAAGCGGATTTTAAATAGTTTTCTTTTCTTTCTTTCTTTTTTTTTTTTTGCACAAAGATATTTCATAACAGTTAATTAAAAGATGCATTTGTATTTTCAGTTATAAAATGGCTGAGGCAAACGTTTTAGGAGGGGAGGAGATGAAACCCTCTATGTTGAAATTGTTTCAAACAAGGGAACAGACGGATCCTCCAGAGAGAGTAGAGGTCAAATTGAATGTCTCTGGATCAAAGATCCTTTTATTTTCGGGAAAGTATACGGAACTTCGGCTGTGAATTAAGGGTCGATAGCAGTCTTAGGGGACAGAGTATAGGGCTAGGCGAAAGTCAGCATATGTTAACGCAGATAAAAGAGGAGACCCAGTAGTGTAAGTGCAATTGATTGAGTATTTCACGGATGCCCTAATCAATCCTTTGAGAGTTTTCTTAGGGCATCCATGAATCTCTAGCTACGTTCTCCCAAAGGGTGACGGTAATAAGAGATTTCCCCGAGACGTTGGACGAGGCGTTCGCATTGGCGAGAAGTGAGGCCTTACTCGTTAGGTTGGGATGCTTGGAAGAAATTATGAGCAGTGTTTAAAAATATGTTATAATTATGATAAGAGGGGATATATTGGAGTTATATCTCCAGAGTTATATGGGAAAAGGAGATGACGAATCCCGAGGCATGGTCCTTGGTTGAAGTGAGGTACATTACAACTCCTGAATAAAGACGAGTAGTCTGTTTCATATGTAATAAAGGTGGACATTGGGTTAGGCATTTATTGTACAGTTTAGAGAGCCAGTTTGGCAGCGCATTGTTTAAGGACTATTACAGGAATACCATCAACTCCACATATTTTGTGGGGGTCCAGATTAGAGATGATAGCAGAAACCATAGAAAGATTTATATGAATATATTTAAATTTTTATAATAATATATTAAGTTTATATATTTTTATAATAATATATTTAATTTCTTATTGGTACTGTGGATTCTAATAGAATCAGACTTAATGCTAAAGACACTAAAATGTGATGTGCTTAACACCTGTTTTCAGGTTCATATTGTTGTAAATGGCGTGCGATTATCAATATATAGAGGATACTCAGCCAACTTAAAATTTTCCACCGACTCATAAATACCCTTTAGAAAGACATATCGTCTCGCTCCAGGTATGGGTTAAATAGCTAGCTGTCTAGCCTTGGGTAGGAGTCAGTCTAGAAGGAGAATTGCTCTGAATTACAAACCATGAAGAAGGCAACGAGTAACTATTTCACTATGTTAAGTCATGGAAATGAAGAAAATGAATCTTGTGCGAAAACATGACGTCTGCTTAGATTTTGAAGAGAGGGCATTAAATAAAAGAAAGAAAGAAAGAAAGAAAGACAGACAGATAAACAAGCAATTTCAGCAAGTCATTAAAAGTGTAATATATTCTGAATTCACTCCAATCTTCATACACCAAGTTCTGAAAAAAAAACACCATTTTTAATTCAATATCTGAATATTTGAAAGAAAATTTTTTTCTGTGTCTACATTTTTCGAAAAGTTTTCTTTTTTTGGGGGGTGGGGAGAATTATATATATATATATATATATATATATATACACGGAATGTTAAAGTATTTTAAATCTGTGTGGCATGCAAATGTTCTGTTACTTCGTTAAAGTTTATTTCCATTGTGTAATATGACATAGTTTTTGGGTTTTTTTTCAGTAGCTGTTAAACTTTTACAGTTTATGACTGGCTTCCGGCATTTTTCAGCCTATTTACCTGGAATTTGCTTTTTGGGAACGGAGCCGGATTTCTTCTGTATGGATAATGTTGGTTTTACAACACAATAATATTGATTGGGTTTTGTGTATTTTCTTTTTCTCAAATAGCATGATTTAATGATTTTTTCACATGGCTCACTTTCATTCACATTCCCCATATAAAACGACCTTCCTTGCAACCGTCATAATAAATAAATGTTATCACTGAAGAACAGAAACTCTCACCTCATACCTTCAGACACGCTGTTTCATCTCATCGTTCAGTTCACTTTCTCTAGTATAAACCTCCAAATTAAATGACATTTCTCTTAGTTTTACACATATTTACTCACTGAGGGAGCGATTTATAATGAATGCGTTTTAACGAATATGAAAGACTTGTCAATAGTTACCAGGCTTGTGATGAGGAGTACGGAGCTTTAGTAGAGAAAAACGTTGGCAAGACTATGTCATTGTCAAAAAGAACCAAAATGTCTGCATATTTTCATTGGCTCTATATAGTTTTGAAACAATCTGACAGTTACAGGACGGTACGCATGTTTTGCTGATTAATGAAAATCATCAGAATAACAGTTTTTCCGTTCATAAATCCACTTTTCTGACGACGCTGACTAATCGTAGAAACAGCAAAATAAAACTTTTCCAAATTGTCATATGCATTTAAGTATATATATCAAATGCATGTATGTATGCATATATTTATGTACGAAGAATCACAATTTTTAAATAGATGGTAGTAGGTAACAGGGTAGCATTAGAACCAAAATTTTCCTTAAAAATAAACAAAACAAAACGAAATCTGTTTGACAATATTCGAGTAATTTACACTTAAGGAAAACGTCTGTTTTAAAAAGAATAAAATTAACGTAAGAGTTGTACACAAAACGCATGATTTCATTTTATTTTGTTGTCTGTAGTTAAAAGGGTGAGCATTTTTTTTAGCATCTTGCTGATGTTATCTGGGCAGGACACGCCACACGCAAGCCGTATCAGATAACCATTTTTATCAGGGGGCAATGCTCAAGTTGCAGTGATTATATTAACTGTTACATCAGTTGTTTTGGATTTGCAGTTTACTTAATACCAAGAAAAAAAAATTCTCTTTTTATTGGGATGGGAGGAGGCGCTACGACTGTGGCCCATTAAGCCAAGGGCGCAGTAGCAAGGAAAAGATTTCGGAACCACTGGACGAGCAGGATGCGGAAATAGAGTTTGGAATGTCGATCTAATGCCTGCCGTTATATTGTTCATATCTGATAAGCATTTATACTTGTCTCTGGAATGTGTTGGAGTAAATATATATATATATATATATATATATATATATATATATATATATATATATATATATATATATAAAAGAAGTATTTGATTTCATAAAGAAATTCCAGAATTACAGAAAGGGTATTGAAATTATCTACGTAAGAGGTTTTCGTCAAAACTCATCGTTTTCTTGTTGACTCTTCTCTTTCGTATTTGACGCTGCAGTTCGAAAGAGCGTACAAGTTCTTTGGTCGTGATGAACACACTAATACCATTACTGTCTGTCAAAATGACGGTCTCATTTGCATTCTCTATCAAAGCCGCATGATCAGGCACATTGTTATTATTAGTGTCTGGTACCAGTCTGTCAACAGACAAGTCGCCATTAGAATTACTGGTCAGAGCGAACATTATATCCGGTGACGTTGGTGAGGGCACAAGAAGGGTGTTTGAAGATGTGGGTGAAAATGGTTCAAAAACCTCTGAATTTTCGTCGTTTCTGTTCACCGAATGAGCCCGTTGTCGATGTTTTTGGAGTTTGGAATGTCGCTTCCGCATAAGACGCATGGCGCGGTCTTGAAAACTGTCGATCCTGACTAATGTTGGTGCCGAATTGCTCCTCTTTTTGGGAATTCTTTTCTTATCATCCAAAATGTCCGTAAGAATCAATTCCTCTTCCTCGCCGTCTTCAATGGAAGGAGTCGGACTTGTCGAAGAAACAGATGAGAGACCAGAATCGTCAGAAGACTGAATCTTTCCTCTGTAAGAGGAATTATAGCTGTCATTATCGTGGTGATGATGGGTGTCGCTACTTTTGCTCATACAAGGACTTGAAGTTTGGTGCGACTTTAATGGCGAACAGGTTCTCGGAAAGAGGTCATTCATGCAGCAAGTTCTTCGGCGGGAACGACGCTGCACCATCTGCTCCTTCTTCGAAACCTGGATCCTAGTGATTGTCAACTTGGGTAGGATCATTTTGCTTTCCATTGTTAAATCTGAAAATAAATAAATAAAAAACGTTAAAGAAAATAACGAGAGACGCTAAATTTTATATGAAAATGAATTAATCTCGTTTGTTAATCTTTATATACGATAAGACAAAATGCAAACTTTGGAACAAAAGCATCAAAAGAAAAAAATTCACTTTCCTCAGACATGTAATGAGACTCGCCTAAAGAAATACTATTGACAAAATTCTTTGAACAATGCTTCAGAACAGACGACAACAAAAGGAGCCGCCCAGAAATGTCATTGCTAAGGACAGGTGAGCAGATTATGGAGATGAATATATTACTTGATGTTATAAATCCAGTATTTGTTATGGTCCAGGTTAGGACCAAGGAAGAACAACACGAAGACAAGAGTAGAAATAACGAAGGTATATTAGACAAAATAATAATACAAGATGTGGAAGGTGTTAGTATGACTGTCAGTCTGGTTTGGAGTGAACTACTATCGTCTAGACTCGATTCGATATTTACTTGCACCCCCCCACGAGATTTACGTGGGTTTTCCGAGCCCGTAGGCTCGACCATAAAATGCCTGTAGAAACTGTAAAAATAGAATCGGGTTGGTCAACTTCCCCGAACGAGGCTCTACCCTTCGGCGGAGCCTCGTCCGGGTTCCTCTCTGCTCAGAGACTCGGCTGAGAAGCTCGGCTTGATTCGTCCCTCTCTCTCTTAAGAGGTGTACTATACATAGTGTCAGGAAGAGTTCATTCTGTAGTTATAGGTAAGGACCCATGACAGTATTCTATCCTTAAACTGGAGATCTTAGGCTCGAACAGATGAATATTTCATATTTCTGACACAGTAATTTTAATAATAACTTAGTATTATAAATTATTAATTATAACTTAGTATAATGTTTCTCGTTCATTTAAAGGTTATGTTTATTATTAAAATATGCCTTAGTGACTTTACTGCTTTGCTTGGGGTGATATGATTAATAAACATAAAATAAAAATAAGTCATTATCTCCGTAAAATATTGCTTGCTTATTATAATTTTTTGTTAAAGATCGTATAGAGTTAATAAAAAGAATAATTTAAAAATTTCATCTTCGATTAAAAAAAAGAAAAGGAAAGAATTTTTGCGCATTAAGTAATGCATCGTACTCTTGGTGTATATGATACCAATGATATTTTAATGAATTATAATCCTATTGAAAATGTTCTAATGAAATTTATTTTTTAGAGTTATAAATTCAGACTTATTTAGCTAAGAGCCGCCTTGCTACGTCCACAGACTTGAATCATCCTCATTCCCTCCGTATTCCGTTGGTAAGAAGGAAGTTCCACTCAGAGCAGATACTTCTGTGTGGATGCTTCCTCGAACATTACAATCTTAAGCTCTTTAAGTTGACGATAATAAATTATCTATCCTATATATCCTCATGATTTTCACTTCTTACTTCCGTTTATTACGTTCCTATCACACACTTCATTCAATGACTCTCTACCTTGAGTATCTCTTGAGCCTTATATTGAGTGAACATCAGTAAAAAAAAGTACTGTTTATGACTTTACAACACAAACTCACACGCACGAAGCTTGACTTCTTAGTGTCTAGGAAAGAGGAAAACAGGTCAAGAGGCATCCGCCATCATTGCTGGCTCGTTTTCGTATCTATTGATCACCCCTACTTGAAGTAGACCCATTCTCAAACAAGGAGAAATTCAAATCACTAAACTTAGTACGTTCCCTGCTAAAGTCACATCGTTATCTCTGTTGCTAATGAGTCTATCATTATCTTGAAAATTGTCAGTAAAGCTAAGTAGCATGATAAATAAGTTGGACACGTGCAAACGAGAAAAAAATTCTATGTGAAGACGTTATATCAACATATACACGTACACCATATCAACATGTACACGTACACATATAGTATATGTAGTTGAATGATTTTTATCCAAGCCTGTGTCACGGATCATTAATTCCTTTGAGAGATATACATCTTGCTAAAAGAGATGTTATTTTAGTATATTTTATACTTATATACAGCAAGCACTTTACGAGGAGGAACTGAAAAGCTTCCAAAATATACACGTGCAACATATACACATATGCACGAAATGCTTTGCGAGAGTAAAGTTTTCCAAACCTTTTGTCCTGATTATGTATCCAAGAAATTTTATCTGTTTCGTTCTGTGTCTGTCTGTATTTCTGAGATGTGATATTATGTACATTATTTACAATATTCGGAAAGGAGAACATGACTAAAGACTGTGTGTACGCTATCCCGTGCAGCTGTGGAAAGAAATATAAATGGGAGACAGGCCGCACCCTTAAGGCAAGGCTTCAAGAACACCAGAAAGCTGTAACACGAGGGAAAGTGGAAAAATCAGGCGTGGCTGACCCCATATGGAGAGAGAAGGGAGATCACCGCCTTTTTGGGATCAGGTTGAGATCATAAACAAGGAACACCATTGGAAAATTGGTAAACTTAAGGAACATATGCTAGTCCACAAAAATCTCCTGAGCCGACCAAGCATAGAAATGAATACAATATGGGAACCAGTAATAAGGAGTGCCAGAGAAAAGCGATAATAACAACAAAAGTTGCAATATGAGTTCTGGTAAAAATAGTTTCTGAGGCATTAGGTTTATAATACCCATAAATTCATACACAGATGTCCCCAAGGACACATGACACAGTGGATAAATGCGTTGGTTAGATCCAGTCACAGAGCCCAAAGAGTGTGAGTTCAATACCCAGTTAAGGAGATAACTGATAACTGACATCCATCAAATATGGCACGTGGAACTGGAACAGTCTACCCCAGTGAACGAAATAAAGGTTTCAGTTCGACATTCCAACCACTTGAAGAAGGCCGGAGCGTACAACGACCGAAACGTTGTAATAATTATGGCGACCAAGATGAGGACAATAGTCCGAATAATGTAAATAATGTTTCTTTCTGATTCTGAATATAAGCGTTCTTTTTGTTACCATTTTCTTTAAGACTTCCTCATTACTTACTCGCTACGTCCAGGGAATCCTCAGTATACTTCAGTAGAACCACATTTCTGTTACATCCCAATTTCTTCTTCATCTGCGGTGAGCTTGTCCAGCATTCACTGCCATACAAGAGGATTGATATCATACAGCAATTCAGCGCCCTTTTCTTTGTTTCAAAGGAAATAATGCAAATCTCTCAACATCTTCAACGTCTTTTTACACGCCGGGCATTAGAATAAATACATCACTATACACACTTTACCTCTTTCTATAATTGCTCACTGTTAAGCACATCCTAACAAACTGCAAAAAAATATTTAAAAAATGCAACAAACACACAAACCCTTACCATGCTTTTCAAAAATTGTATCTGTTTCTCAAATAATAGGCTACCTGAAAAAAAATAGGTTGCTTCGGGCACTTGTATAAAAAGGCACAATACATTTTATTATCTATAAACTACATCTCTAAAAAACATACATTTACCCTGAAAGTATAAAATTGCGTACAGAACATCTTTAGTTGAAGCCATAATGTTGCGTAAGAATATTTGAATTTCAACACTGAGTGGCCCATGGAGGTCGTCATGCCGCTGAACATAATCAATCAACAAACTGTTTTGGCATTAATGAATCATAGTGGTTGATATACCAGTTAAATAACCAACCAATCAATCGATCTTTCTATATTCTTTGTATTTAGTTTGCTAAGGAAATAAACTCTTATTAATGTTACAATATTGTTTGTAATGTAATTTCATTCTTATCTTCAATTCGAGAAAAGTCCCTTGCTTCCACAATACTATCTCTCCTACGAAACATCTTTCTGCAACAAGCTGTAATCTCGTATAAATATACTTCCTATCAACTAATATAACTAATATAAAATCACAACTACGGCGCCTACTTTCTGTTTAAAATGAGATTTCTGTCAATTATTTCACTCCTTTCTAAACTATTCCGTTTCTACGAACAATGTCCTCAGTTTATAAACGTACACATTGCCTAAAAGGATCTACGTTCTTTCACAGGCATAGAAACAAAAAAAAAAAGGAAGAAACAATGATCTGTGAATCTGTGTTAATAATGAAAACGACAATTAAATTTATAATTGTGTCTCTCAGTTTCAATGAGAAGGAAATGTAAGGAAACAGTTCTTTGATCAGGGTCAATGGAAATAAAAGAGCGAACGACTCTTTCCGGTTACACTTCTCTAAGTAGGCCGAGAGCAAAACGGATGTTTAAGAGAGGCAGTAAGTATGTTGGTCAGAAGGGTTTGTTTTACACACAATATTGACGGATACTAGGCTATCCACTCATTTACAAGAATGACAAAGACATGTGTGTGTGTGTGAGAGAGAGAGAGAGAGAGAGAGAGAGAGAAGAGAGAGAGAGAGAGTAAAGAAAAAGAAAGAGAGAGACAAACAGACATAGAAAGGCAAATACGGTGCTGAGTTTAACATTGGTGGGGTCCCAAGCAATAAAAAAGACGAGAAGCACCTTGTTAAAAAAAATCTGAAGATTTCATCTCATATAAGGACATTTTTTGTATCCTATGCAGAGTGAGAAGTACTAAGATGTAATTTGCTTAGCTTGTGCCTAAATCCATCAAAGAATTTTTTTTTTTTTTTTTTTATAAAAAAGCGAAAAATTTTCATTTTTACATCAACTCAAATAATCTTACTTATTATAAAACGCAGATTGTGTGTGTGTGTGTCTGTACGTTTATATATTGGATCGGATTTCCTACATTTTTCAACCGATTTCGACAAAACTTCACAGGACTGCGTAAAATTACCTTGCGGTGGTTCTGACAGCAGCAAAAATGAGAAAAACACAATTGTTTTTGCACAAAGTCAATTTGAAAACACTATAAAACACAATTCTGTCATCAGAATGAAAGGGGGACAACTCATATCGAGTTATACTTATAAAACCCAGGTTGTTTTTTTTTTTTTTTTTTTTTTTTGTGTGTGTGTGTGTGTGTGTGTTTATTTATATATGTGATCGGATTTCCTACATTTTTCAACCGATTTC